ATATTATAGGAAGTATCACTTCTCAAAGAATTGAAGACAAACTTTCTTGACAAATGTTATTTAACACGAAATTTAAATCTAAGGTATTTTACTGACCACTTTCAATAATTTGGTTGATAAATACAAATCTATTACCACTGAACATTTCTCAATAGACTTATGTTTATATAGAGAAAGTATTATTTATCCAAATCTCTTAGCATTGTTCCAGTTAAATTTTTTAACTTTCTATATTAGATATGAAAAAAACAAAACAAATGAATGTCAAGTAACTCATTTACTTCTAATGACTTGAAAATATACACTTTTGATTGTAAAATAATTTCACTATTTCACAACACATACGGTTGAACTCCAATGGTCACTGTTTCTCAATAGAACTCCAGGAAATACCTTCTGAAGTCAGCCACTAGTGAGCAGATTATTATTATTGTCAGAATGGGATTTTGTGGAGATTTTGTTAATATCAGGAATCCCATACTAGGACGAAACGACCATCCAGTGCTTCTAGGTTTTCAATGGTGGTCTAACTTAAATCGATTAATCAGTTCAACCAATGAAGCTAAATTATTTCACGAACAGTTTTTAAATGTCACTAAGGCTTATGTTTACTCAATAGTAGACAATATTAAAGTAATATAGTATTTCATAATGATGCAAATTAGTGATTAAATAATGATGGGAGCTACCAAGATATATTTTTACATTAATTAATGCTTAAATAAAGATGGTTAGTCAATAACCGTAAAATCTAGGACTTGCGTTTCTTCCTGTTTTTGATTCGTCAGCTGGATATACCTGTAACATCTCAATGTTGGTGTTCACACCGAAAGGCAATTCTCTTGTGGTGCACACAAACCGAAAGTGACTAATTCAAATTATGTCCTTAACAGTAACAGTCAGAAGATTGATAAGTCGTGTAGGTTGAACGCTATATACGATTCCTAAGCTATTCCCGAAACCCGCAGACTAGAACTACACAGCGACTTGAACTCCAGAGAGAAGACACAAGTATGAGTAAAAACACTTTATCCCAAGGTTCATTTTTGTACAGAAAATCAAAGGTATTTATAGATGTTGGCGTCTGTTAAATCAACATCATATTTCAGCCAATCCGTTAACAACATATTATGCTACCAACCAATGGTAGCACGCCACGCTGGAATTCTCGAACGTTCCATCATACTCTGATTGGCTAGGACTCTTCGGCTCCTTTTTAAGCCTCTGGAGGCTCCGTTGAAGTTCGCCGGAAGCCGACCCAACAAAGATTTGAATAATATTTCAAGAATTACTAATGATCTTTGTCATGTAATGTATATTTATGTAACAAGTGTCATTAAAGACCATAGAAATTCAAATTGTCATGTATGCCATTTGAATGTTGAAAATTTATTTTGGATCCAGATAACGAGAAAAATCTTGGGTTTAATTAAACTTATAATTGATATTAGGGACAGTAATGTTTTTTTCAAAGAAATAGTATTCATTTCAACAGTTGAGATCATGAGTCAATTGAAGCTAGACAACCATGGAAAGCCTGGAAGTACTGAACGGCCGTTCCGTTCCACTGCGCGACTCCCTAGCAGTGCGCATCCACGACCGCGCCTGGCGGGATTCGAGCCCAGGACCTATCAGTCTCGCGCCAGGCGCTTAACCAACTAGACCAATGAGCCGGCATCCAACGGTGTTAATGTATAACTTCAACTAATCCACAAAATTGAGCGACACATCCACCATTGTCATCAGTGAGTTACTACCTCACAACTGACCCGGTTGAAGTCCACTGGTCACTGCTTCTCGTAGATGAGCACTGCTGAGGAGTTCCGCAATAGGACGAAACGACCATCCAGTGCTTCCAGGTTTTCCATGGTCGTCTAGCTTCAATTGATTCATGATTTCAACTGTTTAAATTACTATAATATCCACAAAACCCCTTCTGATACTAAATAGTATTCAATTAAAGAAAACAACAATAAATCATTATTGGATGCAAGTTAATACACATCTACAATCTTAAAATAATATCAAAAATAAATGAGATTTCTGATACTAATCAACATAACCCCACTAGTAAGTGGTTTCAATGGGTATTTCTTCGAGTTCTAGTGAGAAACAGTGACCAGCAACTCACTGAATACAATGATAGATGAGTCGATCGATTTCGTGAATTCGTTGACATTAGACGTTCACACAGTTGGATGATCAGCCACAGATATCCACATCAACTCTGGGATGTAAGTACATCCATCTGAAGAGTTCCAAAATAAGACGAAATCCTCATACTGAATTCCACTTCTAACCACCATTATCTCAACTTAAAATACTTATTTATAATATTTTTTTACTGATAATAGATAGTCATATTGAATAGATAAACTAGCATCTATTCAATAAGTTAATTGACAAAAGATCTAAAAGATAGATTAAACGATTTATTCCCCCCCCCCGAAAAAATGCATCACAATTAGATTTCCTTGCATAAATAAATAATAAATCTAGTTCAATTAATCAGTAATTTTATCTACGTAACAAGTTAACTGCCTTATAATCAGTTCGATTGATTATGTCATCCGATTAACTTTGTAATTAAAAAACAGTTACTTGAAGCAGATGTTTCATTATAACTTCACACGCACGCACACACACACAAAATATTAAACGAATATAACCTGAAATAATTCTTATTTCTGAATATGTTCAGTAGTTGTTGTCTTAGTGATAATTACATGAGATAATAGATATTTGATGAATACTAGAAAGTAATGGATGAATGTTCGTTTCTGACTTGACATTATGCAGGAATACATGTTCATGACTTCAACAAAGATCAAACTTAAGGTTGTTTAAGTTTCGCGATGGGTCAATAACCGCCTGGAGTCCCTCCGGAGGCTTTTGCCGGTCCCAAGCCCAGATAAAGTAGGAGGGTTGGGCATGGGGTTAGCGACCCCATCTCGTAGAAAACTAACTCACTAAGAAAACACTAGCCAGTAAGTAAGAGATATTAGGGTTTTAGTAAAACATCATGTCTATTACAGTTCAGCGATATTGATGTGAGATAGTTGCCTACCGTAAGCAATGGAAGATGGTAACACAGATTGAAGTTAGAAATATGTATCATTGGATTCTGGTTCAGTGGTCTAGAGTTTAGGCGCTCAGCTCTATATCGAAATTCTTGAGTTATATTTGTGGTAAGGTTGTAGATCTGCACTTTTGAGGAGTTTCATGCTATAAGGAAACAAATACTCAATGAATACACGTTTTCAATGGTTGTTTAACTTAGGTTAGTTCGTGATCTATGTAATATTTAACAATCCCTATAAGCCGTCATGAAGATAATTTGTCGTTAGATATATTTTGTTTATACATACATTTTTAAGTTTTTAATATAACGATTTAGTGTTAATCTTCTTTGTTAAATAATGATCAAGTAAACGTTAAATGAAGTTGTTTCGTTTTTACCTAATTCACGACAGTAAAGATGAATAATGGACATTTTCTGTAACATTCTGGTTTTCTTATTTATAAGCCAGTTACAAGCATTTGATTAATCGTCGAAGTATTTAATTAACATCTACCAGATAACAGGTTTGAAGTCGACTGAGTTTTGAGCACTTAATCAATATTAGCTCGAAGGTTAATATGTAACCTTGTACTCAAATTTTGAGCGAGACCATAATTTATGGAAGAAACAATCAGATTTAGGATAAGAGGTCTCGGATTTTGGCGCGAAATTTAATCATCCATTAATTTGGCTAAATAGCGTTTTGGCATTTTAGCTGATGTCAGTTCGTGATCAGAACTCTAAATCTAATCCCTAACCCTAAACATCAATTGCAAATCATGATCCTTATCCTTCACACTGCTTCATAACTCTCAATTAGTCCTAGTTAGTAAGTGAACACTCTCAAGATCACTTCACTTTCGTTCAAGAATTGTCCATAAATTATAGTCTCACCAAATGTTGTTGTAAATATTCAACCATATGAATTAATAAAACTCGTTAGGATTTCTTTATTTCAGTGAACATTAACTAGTGTTATCTGTCAATAAACCAAACATGAGTTAATGTACGTTGATCCAGTATGCTAGTTTTTCGGCGTAACATTCGTTTATATCAATTCCAAATAGAATCTATTTATATACCTGTTATTTTACGTATGCTGTGATACTCACTATAAGTCAATACAATTTGTATATAAATAAATTTATCAGTATAGGGTTGTGGAGATTGTCAAGTTTTTAATTGAGACCATAATTCGATTAATGTCAGACCACTATTGAGAATCTGGAAGCACGGGAAGGCTGTTTTTTCCTCGTCGATTGGTTGAAGTTAGACACTTTACACTGTTGGATGTTGGCTCAGTGGTCTACAGCTTAAGCGTTCGCGTGCCAGATCGAAGGTCCTGAGGTCAATCGATGTGTGCGGAATTGTAGATGGATAGTACTGAGGAGTATCATACTAGGACGAAACGGCCATACAATGCTTTCAAGTTTTCAATGGTAGTCTAACATTGATCGATTCATGATCTCAATAAATAAATGCATTTAGTTTAGAATATTAGTAATTTTCTTAATGATGAGATCAATCTTCATCTGTGTTTGTATTCTTATTTTACGTGCAGTCAAATCACAGTTTCTATTGAGAAGTTCTAGTCCCAGTTATAGTAAATTTTATTTCCACTTATATTCAATATAGTGATCAATGACTTAACTGACTAAATCGAGAGTGATATATCAAATTGATCGTCTGAATTATGTTATCACATTTTGAGAAGGAGTAATTATATGACTTCATCAACTGGTTATATCTGTTAGTTATAGATGCTTAAATTCATGCTATTGTAAAAATGCTTACATAATAAGTTATTCATTAGTTGATATTCAATACTACTTGGCTCAATTTAAACGAGTCTAACCGTAAATAAATCACATCCCCAAATGTAGCTATCAATGCCTGCAAATTAGCTTCCCGCTTAACAAAGCCCATATTAGCGAGAAATTCAAAATCGTTGTTCAGGTGGAACATTGTTTATGTCACCTGATCCATTACTAGTGATATTCAGCATGTTGGATAATAATGTGGTCAATTCAGCTTGATTAGGTGGATTAGCCGTAGTACCACTGGTACGACCAGCTGTTGTGGAGTCAGGGTTGTCTCCAGGAGCTGGAACTGTTGTCGGGGTTTCTGCAGATGGGGTTGTACCAAATGTAACTGAACCAGTTGGAGGTGCAGACATACCTAAACTAGTTCACATATACCTAGGGCTTCTTGTTGCAGTGTCTGAAGTCCTTGTTAGATCTGCATCATAGCTTGAAAAGCACGAGAATTTGATAACATGTTAGTAAATAATAGCTAATTGATCTGGATAGCTAATTGTGGGAGCATTTATAGCATTTGATCACGTACATTTAGATTAACGCTAGAAATTATTGAATTATTCGTCATCAGACTTTCCATAACTGAAGAGTTCGTACTCATTGCTTCAAGTATGGCTTTCACGTATGGGACCTGAAAAGCATTCGAAGGGGGAGGGTTAAAATAAATCATTAACATCAGTTTTTGTGTGTTGACTTTGCGTTGACGGATGTTGTGGTTTTTAGTGCTATGCACAAATCAGTTCAGTCTTCCGCAAACATAACAATGACAGATGTAACCACTCCTCAATAATATTTACTTTATGTAGGACAGTATGAAGATTTATTATTTAATTTATAAGAACATCTGTTAAATAATGAAATTTTATGAATAATAAATTGTATAGTTTTATCGTGTCTTAAACGGGAATGAATTGAAAACATTGAAGTCATTCAATTAATTCAGGATCATTAAGCCACTGAGTCACAATCTATTGATTCATGTTTTTGGATTTTATTCAACTTGCGATATGAAATGGTAATTTTTCCACTAACTAACAATCTAAATAATAATTATGTGTAGAGATAGATGATAGCTGGTAGTAGGATCTAGGACATGTGTTTAATTCTATTTAGGACTCATCAGCTTCAACCCACAGTTGATGTTCGTTCCGGTACTCAGACCTGGTACCGTTCACTTCAAATTCGATCACGTTATTCAGATAGCCACTAGTATATGCAATACAGATGAACTAAATACTAATTATTTACTCATAAGTGACTTATTTTGAGAGTGATGTCAATAATCTTATTCTTACGTCTTAAACGATTGTCACCGAGAGAACAAGGAATAATAGCCATGCCGTCTCAAGAATTTTCGGTTACAAATGGAAAAAATATTTCCAATTTTCTATCACAATAGAGAATTTAAAAATAGTTAACTACTGTTCATGATGAATCAAATGGTAGGCATCATTCATATTTTAAAGTACTTTCTTTGTAAAGTGAATTTATTCAGATACTTAACTGTTATAACCGTGACTGCAGATTAGACGGCAGCGAATCATTGATCGAACCAAAGACGCGTAAACACATAAGAACGGCCTGGAGTTCTGATTGATCCCGCTTCCCTGTCTAGCCCAGCCAGTCGAGTTCAGAACTCAAGTCTCAGGCTCTGCGATATGAATCATTATATTTCAAGCATACTGAGTTTATATACCAAACAAACCGACCACAACGTACTAATAAATTATGAACAACATTTGTACAGGAATTAGCCAGATGTGGCTGTCAATGAGGGAGGTAGCGATTAACAGACAGGGAATAATTCATGAATGGTAAATCGTACAATAGTAGTTCATAGGTCAACATAAAGCTTATAATAAGAGGGGTATGAATATGAACAGTTTAGTTGCATAACGATTATACGATAAAATTATACTCATAATATTGATCCATAAATGGATCCCCAAAATTACCATTCATTATTCTTATCGGGATACAACATTAACCGATAGGATTAATTTCAAATTAACGGTAATAATGAAAGATATAAATTGAAATCGGTCAACTATGAATTAAAGAAAAACGACAATGATGTAATCAAACTTCAGAAAGAGTTGAAATAATGAGTGATGTAATAAATAAAAAGGGGGGTGTAATGTTACCAGAGTAAAGAAAGATTTATTACTGCCTCTTTTTGGGTATATAGATCTGGTTTTAGACGTTTGATCTTTATCGCTTCGGCAGATTTCATAAGATTAGAATTAGATTGTTTGTTAATTACCCTGAAAGACTATAGTGTATCAGTTTCATGTCCTGTGTCAAGGATAAAATTGACCGAAAACATCATCTGCTACACAGTGAACATTCTCGAACATGTACAGAATAAAGCTCATTTGGGAAATCTATTTTCTTGTGTTTACAAAACTTGATAATGAGTAGTAGATTTTATCAAAATCAAATCTCTTCAATCCTTAGATCTCCAACTACGTGTAAAAGATGAGTTTGAACTGTTAGGTTCCGATAAACATAATGAATAGTAACTTTGGGATCCTTTTATGGACCAATAATAAACGTATATTTTTCATCGTATAATTGTTAAATAACTAAACTATTCATATTCACATTCCTCTCATTATGAGCTTTATTTTGACCTATGAACCATTATTATAGGTTTTACCATTCTTGAATTACGTCCTGTCTATTAGTCACTGCCTCACACATCCACAATCACACTTGGCCAAATCTTGTACAAATGTTATTTTCTATTTTGATGGTACGTTGTGGTCTGTTTGATTGGTATATAAACCCCATATGTTTGGAATATGATCGATGAACAAGGAGGTTCAGATGCAGACGTAAAGGCAAGGATTGGCAAGGCAAGGACAGCATTCCTACAGTTAAAGAACATATGGATTTCAAAACAACTTTCAACCAATATCAAAGTGAGAATCTTTAATACCAACGTCAAGGCAGTTCTACTGTACGGAGCTGAAACATGGAGAACTACAACAACCACCATCAAGAAGGTACAAGTATTTATAAATAACTGTCTACGCAAGATACTCAAAATCCATCGGCAACAGCCTTCTCTGGGAGAGAACAAAACAGCTTCCAGCTAAAGAAGAAATTAGCAAAAGACGATGGAAATGGATAGAACATACATTACGCAAATCGTCAAACTGAATTACGAGGCAAGCCCTAACTTGGAATCCTGAAGGGAAGCGCAAAGTGGAAGGCCAAAGAACACATTACGTCGGATAATAGAAGCAGATATGAAAAAGATGAATAACAACTGGAAGAAGCTGGAAAAGATTGTCTAGGACAGGGTTGTATGGAGAATGCTGGTGAGTGGCCTATGCTCCTTCACGAGGAGTAACAGGCGTAGGTAAGTAAGTAAAGTTTGGAATATAAGGATTCATATTGCAGAGTCTGAGACGTGTTCTTGACTTAACTGGTTGGGCTAGACGGAAAGCAGGACTCTAGGCTGCTCGCATGTGTTTTACGCGTCCTTGGTTCGATCGATAATTCGTTGCTTTTGATTGGCAGCTTTGGGCTATAACATGAACACCGTTGGGAAAATGTAAAGACTCATGTGTTACATTTGTTTGATGATAAATAACTAATATTACTTACTAGTAAACAACCTATTTACCAGTAAATAGATTATGTAACTAAGGCTCACATCTCATCCCTAACTGAAGTATGAAGGACAGCGGCATATATCTAAATTAAATTTAATATTCTCATCTGAAAGTAAGTATAGCACGTATTGTCTAAAATTTATAAATTTACTCATCGTTTCTTATGATAACTTTTCAGTGTCATAACCCTAGAGTATGATTATGGATGGATTTTAGCTTTTAGATATTGTTTGTACTTTATGATAGGACATTAACGGTCTATGCAATGATAAATTTAAGAAATCAAACCTATTCTTTACAGAAACTTAATCATAATTGAAGCAAAAATAGATAATGGCTAGTAGTGGAATTCAGGATGCACGTTTCGTCCTATTTGGGACTCGTCATTTGGACGCACTATTATCCCATAAATGAATTAGCGCTATCGTTAATCTTAGTGTAATTGAAAATCAGTTGATTAGCACAACATTAAAAGTTCCTTTGTTCACTAGTCAGTAAAAAATCTAAATATTTGCATAATCTAAGCAGTTGATTTCAATGAAATATACATTTTTATTCAATATTGACATAACAAGATCGTTTGAAGTTAGAGTATCTTTCTTCCATGAACTACATTATAAGTGTATAAATCGTTCAAAGTTAATGTTATATATTTATTTTCAGATTTTCTGTCAAAACTAGATAATTTGGGTATTTTGATTGAGATCATGAACCAATTGATTTTAGACGACCAATGAAAACCTGGATTCACTAGACGTCCATTTCGTCCTATTGTGGGACTCCTCAGCATCAATCGATTCATGGTCTCAATCAAAACCTAATATACTCCACAATCCCTATACTGATAATTTTAATATTATTACTATCATTCGAGTGAACGATAACACTTCAATGATACAAATTACTACTGAAGGTAAAATAAGTAGTATTATTGAATCTATAGAAAAATGAATGTTTCATTAATAAGTATGATGAATTATCATTATTACCTTATATTACAATTTATTATTTATTATAATAAATACATACGATTAGAAAAATTGAAAGTGATGAATGACATACTTGTATTCAGTAATTCAGAGTGTCAAATCTATTGTCATGTTTAATAAATCTAAATCATATGAAATAGATTATCATACTGTTAAGGTTAGCAAACTGTTTTTCTAGTTATGTAAATTACTCCTGTCACCCCTCATGAAGAAGCATAGGCCTCCTTCTAGCATTCTCCATCCAACTCTATCCTGAGAAATCCTTTCCAGTTGTTTCCAAATGCTATTCATCCTTTTCACTTCTGCTTCCGATTCCTGACGTAATGTGTATCTTGGTCTTCTTCTTTTCCTCTTCCATTCAAGATTCCGAGTTAGCACCTGTCTCGTGATGCAATTTGATGATTTCCGCAATGTTATATCCTATCCACATCCAACGTCCTTTGCTAACTTCCTCTTCACCTGGAAGTTAACTTGTTCTCTACCATAGTAGGCTGTTGCTGATGCTATCCGGTTAACGGATATGGAGTATCTTACGTAGACAATTATTTATAAATATTTTTACATTTTTGATAATATTTGTAGTAGTGCTCCACGTTTCAGCTCTGTACGATAGGACTGTCTTGACGTTCATGTTGGAAATTCCGACTTTGATTTTGGTTGACAGTTGTTTTGAGTTTCATATGCTCATCAGTTGTAGGAATACTGCCATTGCTTTGCCAATTCTTGACTTTATATCTGTATCGAATC